GTCGACCAAGCTCGGCCAGACTTTTCAGAGTCCCGGGCTCCGGCGAAAACTTCGCGAATCGAAACTGCGAAATAGATTGGCCGGTAACGAGACGCTTCTTTCTCAAGAAGTCTCCGATCGCTCGCCGCACGCAAACTTCTGCTTCTTCTTCCGGCTGTTGCCCGAGTGCCGGAAGCGGCCGCCGCGATTATCGGGGCCCCGACGACGACGCGAGCCGCCGCCAAGCCGTTTGTTAATGAGACCACCCGGTTCGATGTAACGAGCCTCAATTAACGCCGCGAATCACGCGCTGCCGCGATCATCGTGCGACGTGCCCGCCGACGTCGCCGCTTTTTCGACGCGGTAATTACGCTTAACCTCCTTCAGCCGTGAACTTTTTCTACCGTTGTTGGCATCGTCGCGCCTCCAATGGGTAATTATTTCTATAGGGCCAACGCAAATTCACGAGTTATACAGTTTTGTTTCAGTGCACCTTGGATCCTTCCTTTTGTGCCCGTGCGTCTTTCAGGCAATATTTTGACGTGAATAGACTGGCAAGACAGAAATTGTCTACAATGATTGCAATTAATTACTTAATGGTGTCAATGTTTTCGCAGATAGTAAAGTGACTTTTGCCATAAATGCATATATAATATGCATATATATAATATAATATGCATATATAATATGCATACATGTATATATATATAATATTCACAGTATAGCCATTTGGGTTCTTAATTATTAGCTGTGCGATTTATATATATAATATTCACAGTATAGCCATTTGGGTTCTTAATTATTAGCTGTGCGATTTATCGACATTTATCAACGATGCTTCTGACTTTATTTTTAATATTGTTTTATTCTTTTATTCATTCCAAGGGATGACATATTTTATGTTATTGTGGTCGCACAATTGTGTCGAACACAATCTACTAAATGTGAATGTTATTCGCTTCTTTTAAATCGAAATAAAACTCAAATTTTCCGGTGTCGTTATTTGACGATTACAATTAATACGAGCGTGCAATAGAATCTTTGAAGAAGTGTCAATCGACGTAGCTACGAATAAAATGTATTATAGAAATGCGTAAAACGAATACACTTGCGAAGAGCAATCTCGAAGCAAGTTTCCAGTGAAACGCTTAACGATCGCTTTACATTTTTATCAACGGCATCGCGATGCGTTCGCTGTTAACAGCGACGGACGTGCGTGTCTCTGTGTAAAGACGTATTCTGCAGGATTTTAGAACGAGGAACGAACGGAAAGGGCAGAGCTCGTAAACGCGTTACGTCCAATATTTAAATTGCGTCGCCGAAATGAGACAGCGTAACAGCGTGACGACCGACGACCTGACAGTACTATTAAGAGCAATATCGTACCTGGCCTGTCAGTGCCGAGAATAAATGGAGCAGCGACGGAACTGCTCGAGCTGAAAATGAATTTCCGGATGCGGCGCTAATCTTATCTCCGTCGGAGGATTCACCGTCGACGAACGTCCGCCTTCCTTTGCCCCCTGCCCCCTCCACGCCGTACTCTCTTTACTACCATAAAACCGAGAAAATCTAGCGGCTCGTCGTCAAAAAGAACATCGCCGTAGTGAAACATGAACACGCATTGTTATTGTGATACCTCGCGTGCTTTAATGAGTCCGATAATAATATAGAGATCTCTATATAACATCTGCCGTGCATTCATTGCATTTTTTTCTACCCCAGTGTGATCTACCGTCATTTTCGACTCCTATCGTTAATTTCGAATCCTTTTGTATGATTTCTAAAGGAAATCCCGCAAATACATGAATGAATGAATGAATGAATAAATAAATGAGTGAGTGAATAAATAAATAAATGAATGAATAAATAAATTAATAAATGAGTGAATAAATTAATTAATTAATTAATGAATAAACAAATGATTAAATAAATGAATAAATAATCGAATGAGTGAACGAATGAATAAGTAAATAAATAAAAATGAAATGGTTTCTGAAATTGTCTCATGTTATCCGACTCCTGGATTTAAACAAAAGGTGTCGTTTGTACCCTACTATTTTAAACTCGTCTCCGTCCCATCGAAAAGAAGACGAATAAGAAAGAGTGTCCACTATTTTTCCAAGACCTATTTCCCGTATGTATGCCGGACAGAGATTGATATGTTGGCGAGTGCATCGGAAGACAAACCATCGCGAATCCACGGCGCATCGATTTGTATTCTAAACGGCGATACGAGATAGTTTGTAGTTCGATCTGAAACAGCGCTCCGTGAACGCCATTCCGATTCTTCGATGGGTTCTCGGAGGCAAAGCAGAAACTCCGGGCCATTACATCCTCGATTTACCCGGGAATCGGGCGGAGCCGGTGATGGCAGTCGCGGAGCGGCGTCTTCCGTTCCATGGGGGCGAGCCTCGTCGATTTTTACCCCGAGAATTTCCCGCGCGCAGATCCGGGACACGTCGCGCCGCTTGATTTATAACTTCTGCGTCGGTCTCTTTCGGCCGGCAGTCGAGAAGGTGTTGGTAAACATCGCCGAGGACTATGAAAAATCCGCCACACCAGTTCCACGGAGATAACAGGAGGGATGGGACGGAAACGAGCCGGAACTACCCTCGCGGCGTGATTCGGTAGGGCAGAGGAGCCAATTACTGTGCCCCGTTGGCGGTAAATTTTCTCGTTAGACGAATATTAAATTTTCTTTAAATATTAGGAGAAAGAAAAAGATCAGTTACTGAGCTTCAATAACTGTGCACAATAGAAATTTAATACTTAACATACTTTAATGAAAAAAAAACTATGTAAAATCGTAATAAGTCATATAAAAGTTCACATTAGAGATGGCTGTTTTAATAAAGTTCCGTGTTTACATTTCATCCCTTTAAAAATATGACGAAAATGGTTTGAGATTTGAGGTTATGTAGACCTATCCAGTGATGGTCTGGAACGTGCTGCAGAGTAGAGGTGGGGAGACCCTGCAAACGGGATTGGACGATGCCAATGGGTTCCAATTGCAATATCCAATGGCAGCGTCGCCAGCACATTCTGACTCCCTCTCCATCACTCTGCAGCACATTCCAGACCAACATTGGTTTCCTCGCGAGAACCCGGCTTTTCTCAGTGATTTATGAAACGCGAACGATTAATCAATTTCTGACGTGCACTTCTACCGGTCGCGGTGATCAGTGCAGCTCCTGGCCAAGCTCGCCGCATCACGAAGCATTAATGGTAAATAAATTATTGGGTCTTAGCTTAACGGATACACATCTGCGACATTAACGGGCCGCGGCGTTAGAACTTCGAGGAAACGGTTTTTTTCATTACTGGGTTTCTTAGCCTCGGTCTTCGTTAACGTCTCAAGGACAAGTTTTGTGTAAGTGCTCGCATTTTTGTGTGAGTTATGGTCGTGACCATAGAAGAAATTGAGACGGTTTTACATTCGTAGAAACGGTGAGCGTCATTAATTTCGAATGGATAAATATTTTCGACATGGAGTGATTATATCATTATTTATAAATCGTTAAATATCATCCGTTCGAGAAGAGTGTAAACAAATTATGACACCGTAAATTATGATTATTTTCTTCACTCCTGATATTTAAAGTGAGCCATGTTCCCGCAATAACTGCAAAGAGCCAGAAAATGAATGAATTTATACGTTATAACTAATTACGAAATGGAATTGATGAATTGTGAATGATTATGTGTAAAACAAGAGGGAATCGTTAGGGCGAGATTTCGGTCGCAATATGACGACTAATTTGACGGCTGTCGACGAGGATTAAGAACGTGCGTCAATATAATGGAACATTCATGTCCCTTTAATGATGCAGTAATGGAACACCAAACAATGGACAGTATGTTAATAAATAAATCCTCGGCTTATCTGGCCCATTAATTACGCGTATAGAGTAACGCACAATGAATAAATAAAACCTCTCTTTACATTTAATAACGATCGTTTCGTTCGATTAATTAGTTCGACGAACGATAATAGTGCACGAACAGTTACCGGGGGCAGCTCGGATCACGGTTTTCATGACACGCGCAATTCATGATCCACGCGATTCGAATATAACTTTGATTTTCATCCCGGATTCGTAACAATGATAATCAGTTACTGGTTAATGCCGCAGCAGAGTATTTGCGGATGCAACATGATACCTCGAGACAGGAAAATACCATTATGAATGCAACGCGACCAGTTTATTCCAAAGCTTTATTAACTCGCTCCATAAAATATCCGCGGTGTAAGATTTAATCAATTCGATTAAATCCGTCGATTTAAACAATTAAAATCCGTGTCGGTGGTTTCTATCGTATCCTCGGGCAAATCTTCACGCAATATTATTGTACAAATGTTACCACCTGCCGTGAGAAAAATAATCGCGTTCCATATAAAATTGCAAAAACATTTTCGAACGTTGTTACGCTATTAAAATTTTACATAAAAATATTGTTCGATAATTGTATGAAATCGGAGCTACATAAAAATGTGCCTCTTCTTTTTAACAGTTTTAATCAATCGAAAATAATATGTAACAGTACAGTAAATTCTCCCTAATTGACGCTCAGATTGTGCCCAAGAATTTGGCATAATCGTATCGCCTGTTTCCAAATTCTTCATTTTTGTGCACAAGCTGAACGTCAATTAGAGAGAATTTATTGTATTTTTAAATTCTTCCAATATTTTCACCGTTCTCCATTTCTCTTATCAATGTTGGCAATAAACGCATAAAAACTGTCTATTATTATATATTATTATTATATATTATTATTATATATTATTATATATTATTATTATATATTATTATATATATATTATTATTATATTATTATTATATATTATTATTATATTATTATTATATATTAGCTGTCTACTTATCAATTTTAGCTGCGTATTTCAGAACGAATGAGTTCTTAAAATTTGCATTTTACGCGAAGATTCGTAGCTTGATATAATTACGTCGTATTAGTATTGTTGTACCAAAGTTGTAACCGAGATTTTTCTTTTCGGATTCCAGTGCTGACGGCGCCCGGCTACGACGTCTGGGTGAATAGATCCCCGGTGGTGGAGGGTTGCAACGCGGTTTTGTCTTGTACCGCGCTGGAAGACGTCAAAGAACACCTGACAGTCACTTCCTGGTTCCGCGACGATGCTATTCTTCTGCCTGGCAGCACCGACACCGGTGAGTACACGAGCGCGTCCGTGTTTCTCAATTAAATATTTTTACGGCGGCCGACGTTCCGCAAAAAGCACGCACAATGCCGTGACTAGCGGAATCGATCCAACGCGCGCGCTGGCTTTTCAAGCAGCCGGATGTTCGATTTTGTTTTGCCGGTTCTGGTCGCTTCGCCTTATCGTGTTTACGTCAGGCTTCTTTCCCCCCGCGCGACCGTTTTTCATGAATTTCTAGATGAAACACGAGATTTCGAGGGCGCGAGGCAGTTTACGAGTCACCGGATGACTTTGGGGCTTAAGTTATGCGTGGGAAAATTGTGCGGGATAATCCACGAACCGGGTTGCCGCGAGATTTGATCTTTCCGACGGTTTAAAAATATTTCACAGTCGATGTTAAACAGAGAATTCAGTAAAAATATTTGTTCTCGTGAAACAGGAATTCATTTGCGATGCAAGCTGGTCGATACTGTCCGAAAAGCATAAAATTAATTTGCTGGTTTCATTGAAGAATGATATTTGACAGAATATTTCGGCGAGCGTAGCTTTTCTTGATAATTGAACAGTGGACATATTTTTAATGGGCAGAGTGTAATTCGGCAGCAATTTATTGAAACGTATTTTAGTGGCATAAAAGCGAGACGGTTTCTCCGACGTTACCAGAGACAGGTGACGTTTTCGCTGACTGTTTGCGAGTACAGAGGGATGGCAACGTTCATTCGTGGCCAGCGTTTCATAAAATATTTCATCCAGCGAACGACAACACGCTGCCGTGGTATTCCTAAGAAATGAGACTCTTTGAGGCGCACCTACCGCGCGCCTCGGAAATAGTTGACTCTAACTACTGTAAACGCGGAATGCGGTATTAATATCGAGAGATCTTAGCTCCGCAGGATCGTTTACTAGACGAATCCGGCGAACCTTCCGGATGTCATGTCACGCTTGGCTCCTTTTAAACAACCCTAAAATCGTGCCAACCTTAAAACGAAACTGAAGAAAATATTTTTTAATCGCTCGACTACATTGAATATTAGCTGTAACATTCCCAGCAATGTTCTACACATTTGAGAAAACTATTGCGACAGTTCTAATCGCTACGATACAATTTAAAAAATGAAGGATGCTTAATGAAAATTTATGCTTTGAAATATCAAGCAAAAATGATTTTGCTAAGGAATTACTGGAATTATTTTACTGGAATTGTTATTTATTTTAGTAAAATTATAAACGAATCGGTCTGGAGAATTAATTTCCACAAAAGCGATTCGATCCGAAATTTACAGGAACGCAGAGAATTAAATATACATTATACGGTTGTTATCGGGGGACGAGGAGAAGGAAGAGGGAGATCGAGATTCAGGCGCATCATTTGTCACGAGCAGCATGAATTAATTTTCTTCGCGTCTGTGTAACAATTACGCGGGTTTCCCATCAAGAACGAGGCAATTCAGCGGAACGGCATGAATGGTATCGTCGCGAGCGCCGGATCATTTATAATCTTGGAGCGGTGCCGGCCCATATTTGCTTAGCACCGGGGCGATGCATTTTGTTGCAATGATAATCGTAAACAAGTCACGCGCACGCGGCGGATGCAATATTGATGGCGGAAGCCGCGAGCATCTGGTTGCTGAATGAGCTGCTCCCACCGTCGATAATTAGATCGCTCGGATTTATGCGGATACGTGCGCCGGCAAATCCTTCTTTCGCATTTTCTTCGCGGGAATAGTCGCCGTGACCTGCTCGCCGCGTCGTTCGCGAATCCTGCCGACGATACAGCGAGAGAAAATTCATTCGACACGATGCAGAATTTCCCGAAATATTTGCAAATTTTTTATTTTCGTACTAGCGTATTTAATCTGCCCAGGATTTCTTAGTGAAATAGATGCGTTGAAGAATTACGTGGTCATGTTGGCGGTATCGGTTTTGCGCGTCCCTTGAAGTTGCAAACAAGTGGTGCCGAACTATTTAAACAAAGAACATAGGTAGAAATTTGTTGTATTTTTTTATTCAGTTATATTAATAAACAAAGTCCTTTTACATTGGGCTAATAAAAAATTTCACATAAAAATAAGTAGAAATTTTGTACAAAAATAAATAGAAATTTTAACAAATAAATTTAATAAATAAAAACAAATAGAAATTTTATATAAAAATAAATAGGATTTTTATATAGAAATACATAGAAATTAATTATAAGACACATCAAATTTTAATGATTAACTCAAGGTAATCAGCGAATGGTACGGAATAGTGCAATAGAGATGTCTTGCTCTCAGGTTAAGTATTTAGAGAGCTCCAAGATCGTAAGACATGCGACAAGATCGTTAATAACTTTAAATACGATCCGCCGTTAATCTTCTTCTGACAAGAGTATGCAACCTCATGATTAGACCGCGAATTTTTATGCAAAATAAAACTGCTTGTATTAATTACAAGATACATGAGCTACGTAAACATTAATTTCTTTGCTTAATAATTTTACCAGGTCGATAGCAATGCAACAATATGTTTTCACAGTTTAGCATCTCGTTTCCTAATTTTTCTCATAAATGCATAAAATTCTACTAAAGTCTACTCACCACTCGCAGGATATTATCTGATATTATCTGATCGTTCCTAAACGATCTCCATGAACGGAACGAAACGAGCAGAAACAAAGCAATCCAGCAGGCACGTTGCATCGAATAAGATTCGAAACGTGCTTGGATCAGTCACCGCGCATTCGGAATAGTCAGGTCGAAAGAAATATCTTGCTCGAGTAATCTACATGCGCAATCTCGTCTACCAGACCGGCAAGAAGAGGAGAAAAAGGCCGAGCAAACATTCTACTCTCCATCATTCGCAGAAAGATTCTACTCCATCGTCGTTTGGGCACGAACTTCTTCGAGGCAGCGGCGTTTTATTGCCAAGCGAGCGACGAACTTTGATCCTCCTCGACGGCACGAAAAAACTCTCGCGAATCTGCGCAAATGGACGAAGAGACCGAGACAGGCGGGAGAGGCACCGGTAAAGAAGAGAGAAAGAGCGAGAGGGGAGGAGAAAGAGAGAGAGAGCGGGGGAAGGGAAAGCAAAGAAGAGCGCAGAAAAACGTCGCGGCGGGATGATCGCGCGAAGCCTCGGCTCCGGGCCGCTTTGTCAATTATCCGGATTCGAACTTAACGACCGTCGTCGTCGACGGGAAACGAGGCCCGTTCCCGCTTGTCGGCGGTCCTCGACGACGACATCGCCGATGGAAAACAGTCGAGAGATTGTACAAAGGCATAAAGCGTCGAGTGGAGCGCTTGAAGCGGGGCTGAACGCGCTCGCGATACCTGAAACCGCTCCCGCAGCCGGCTGTGTGTGCACGCGCGTGTTCTCTTCCACCCCCCGCCCCCTCCCGGCCTCTATCCCTGAAAAACCGGAAAAAGGGTCGAGCACCTATTTCCGGCGGCCCAGGGGCCGGGACGAGGGCCGGGGGTCGGGGAGGAACCATTATTAAAAGCATAAAGCCACTTCCGCGCGCTGTTGCCGCAGACCAGCTTCAATGGAGGATTCGCGGCGACGCGAAAAATTTCACGAGCACGTCCCCGCACCGCTTTGATATCCGGCTACGAGATCGAACATTGTCTTCCCGGAATTACTACTCCCCGATTCGGGAAACCGCGGATGCCTTCGCCGGCTTTGGCGGCGGAACGATCTCTGGTACTTTGTTCATCCGCGTAGCGACGTGGGTGGGATAGATTGACATTTTTGTGAAAATAGTTTCGTCTGCGATTTGGGAGAATTGAGCCGTTTATTTTGAAAGTGGCATAAGTCACTTTACCGTAATGAAAAGTGGTGATTTTTTAATGTTTCTACGAAATTATTTATACTGAGAAAAATATCAGTATCCTGAGATAACAAATACAAGTAAATCTTCTCGAAAGTTAGCATCCATATTTTTAAACGTGTTAAAACGCAAACCCTTGAATATATCGACTNAGGGAAAGCAAAGAAGAGCGCAGAAAAACGTCGCGGCGGGATGATCGCGCGAAGCCTCGGCTCCGGGCCGCTTTGTCAATTATCCGGATTCGAACTTAACGACCGTCGTCGTCGACGGGAAACGAGGCCCGTTCCCGCTTGTCGGCGGTCCTCGACGACGACATCGCCGATGGAAAACAGTCGAGAGATTGTACAAAGGCATAAAGCGTCGAGTGGAGCGCTTGAAGCGGGGCTGAACGCGCTCGCGATACCTGAAACCGCTCCCGCAGCCGGCTGTGTGTGCACGCGCGTGTTCTCTTCCACCCCCCGCCCCCTCCCGGCCTCTATCCCTGAAAAACCGGAAAAAGGGTCGAGCACCTATTTCCGGCGGCCCAGGGGCCGGGACGAGGGCCGGGGGTCGGGGAGGAACCATTATTAAAAGCATAAAGCCACTTCCGCGCGCTGTTGCCGCAGACCAGCTTCAATGGAGGATTCGCGGCGACGCGAAAAATTTCACGAGCACGTCCCCGCACCGCTTTGATATCCGGCTACGAGATCGAACATTGTCTTCCCGGAATTACTACTCCCCGATTCGGGAAACCGCGGATGCCTTCGCCGGCTTTGGCGGCGGAACGATCTCTGGTACTTTGTTCATCCGCGTAGCGACGTGGGTGGGATAGATTGACATTTTTGTGAAAATAGTTTCGTCTGCGATTTGGGAGAATTGAGCCGTTTATTTTGAAAGTGGCATAAGTCACTTTACCGTAATGAAAAGTGGTGATTTTTTAATGTTTCTACGAAATTATTTATACTGAGAAAAATATCAGTATCCTGAGATAACAAATACAAGTAAATCTTCTCGAAAGTTAGCATCCATATTTTTAAACGTGTTAAAACGCAAACCCTTGAATATATCGACTTAAAAACGAAGTGACTTATGCCACTTTCAAAATAAACGGCTCAATTAGTGCTGGGAAGATGAAAAGTTGAGCGAGAGCTTCGTTGATATTCTTGATTTTATTTCTCCGGAAAACGAGAAGCTGAAAATATTTATTTATTCATTTATAAACG